GGCCTCATCTGGCTTTGTGTAAGTAAGTCTCCTATTTACTGATGTGGAACAGAGAATGATCATCAGGGCGGCTCAGTTATGCTCACAGGCAGTCCTTCTTTTGAGCAGTACAGAGAGATACGTGTGTGTGTATGTGTGGGTTTGGAATGCAAAATAGGCACCTTTCTTACTGGAGAAATAACCTTAACAGCAGAGGCTAGTTGGATAAACTAACTTTTGGACAACTTGCCATGGGTCCAACATTCGAATATTCATCCCACCATTCTGAAGAGCTTTCAGAAAGTTGTGCTCTTGTTTCATCTACAACATCATGAGCTCACTGCTGGAATCACTGAGTGAAATTCTACTGGCAGTGTAATTGGAGAGATTAGACTTCTTAGTGACATTGGTCCCTCTTGCTTTAAGTTTATGAATAAGTGAGAGTATCATTTTGGTAGTCCTGTCTGTTTTAATTTCCCATTACTAGCTGCATTACAAAGCTTCTCTTTGAGAGGTTTAGGAAATTCTTTCCAAAGCCATTTCTCTTTCCGTCTACATCCCTTCCTCAAAGTTAAGATGCCATATCTAAAATTAAAAACGTTGTCTGGCATATGGGTCTCACAAAAACACATTTTGGAAAGCAAGAGCCGAAAAGACTCATTTAACTGTGCAGCCACTCCAACTAAAATGAAAAAAACCCAAACCCCAGACTTCGTTTTTTTCATAATGAGATCTTTTTAGAACTTTTTGTGGTAGAACCGTGTTATAAAGTCTACTGATTGAGTTTGAACATTTTTGACCATAAGATTTTACTTTTCATTTAAAGGTGAACGGAAATGAATCAATTAATTTTTAAGGTAAAATTTTAAATACTGAATAAGGACAGAAATTTACAGTTGGCCATTTTTTATGTATTTTCAATCACTTTTATTGGGAGCTTTCTATTTTATTAAGAAGATAAGCCATGGATAGTAGGTAAAGATAAATTAGTATTTTCCGATATGGACCTCAAAACCTGAAGCTATTATGAGCTGTTTAGAATGGAATTAAGCTGCCCTCCAAAAATGAGAGTGCAAAAAAAAATCTTCTCCTAGGCTTCCAGCTAAGGGGCATCTATACCTCGGGTGTCAAATTATAGGACGAAAGAAGACAACAAATGGGGATGGAAGCTAATGCGGCTTCATAAAATAAACAACGAGATCGGCTGGAGAGCACTACAGAACAGGCAGCACTGCCACAGATCTTTGGAGAGAGACTTTCTTCCCTAAATGGAGTCTAATGCTCTCTACTAATGGAAGAGTATGCGCTAATGCCTGAAAATCCCCCAAAGGGTGCAAAGCAGGAGGTCTGGATGTCTAACAGTTTGATGTTGGCAAATGAGCAGAATTTAGACAAACTGCATCCTGTGGTTTTAATATATCCTTAGTATTGTTCAGAGGATATTTACACAGTATTTATACAGTGTTTCCTTGCAAAACACACTATTGCTTTATTAAGCCATGAAGTAAGCAAATCCTTCATAGACTTCATAGTAAATGATTTTAGGTGCACTACAAAAATTACTCAGTGAACTTCTTCAGCCCATGTTACGAGCAGCTCAGGTAAGATGACTATAACATCATTTTATTATGTAAAAAAAAATACTAGAATCAACTTTAAATCTTTCCTTTATGTCTCCCTAACTGGGAGCTGAGAAGTATTAGATCATAGAATCATAGAATGTCCTGAGTTGGAAGGGACCCACAAGGATCATTGAGTCCAACTCCTGTCCCTGCATAGGACAACCCCAAAATTCACACCATAGGTCTGAGGGCGTTGTCCAAATGCTTCTTGAATGTTGTCAGGCTTGGCGCCGTGACT